GTGGTTGTAAGACATAGCTCTCTGTTTCTATGTTGCTTGTCTGCCAGAGGCTTCTCCCAGCTCCTAGAGGTTGTCCCCATTCCTTGCCATATGTCCTTGTCCACATTTAAAACCAGAAAAGAAGGATCCTCTCTTGTTGAATCCCTTTCACAGGTTGGATTTCTTCTGCCAGGGAAAGCCCAGACCTTTTTAAGCTCTACTTTAATTAAGTTATCCCCCATTCCCCCAAGGCATGTTCTCACTTTCTTAAAGTCAGCTGATTGAGGATCTTAATTACATCATCAGAAACCCTTTTGCCACATGACACAACACAATCATGGGACTGAAATCTGTCATATTTACAGTGCCGTCCCTGGAGTGAGGGAATTATAAAAGTCTTACTGCCTTGGGCAGGGATCTGGGAGAGTTATTTTAGAATTCTGAGTTTCATATTTAAAATAGGTCTACCTTATGATCTGGCAATTCCATTTCTAAGTATCTGCCTGAAGATTGCAAAAACACTTTTTCAAAGGGATATATGCACTCCTATTTTCACTGTGGCACTATTTACAGTAGCCAAGCTATGGAAACAACCTAAGCACCCAAAGATAGATGAATGGATTAGGAAAATGTGGCACATATACACATTGTAATACTGATCAGCTATGAAAAAAGGAAAAACTCTTCACTTTTGTACCAAAATGAATGGAACCGGAGTCAGAAGGAGAAAAACAAACCCCAAAGAATATTGTTTACATGTGGAATATAAAAAAAGAAATAAAAGGGTCAGATAAAGTGGTGGGTGTGGTGTGGTGGTGTGCTGCTGAGGAGGTGCAATCCTATACCTCTGGATTACATAGTATTGTAAACCAATGTTATCTCAATTTAAAAAAATAAAAGAATTCTGAGTTTCATTAAATAGCAGGATGATAGCCTAGCCTAGCTGACACATCAAAAAGTCATCACAATTCTGAATCACCAAGTAAAAATTTGGCATGAATTTTAATGTAAATTTTATTGTGAACTTTTGGGGAAGCTGGTATTTTTTGTATTTGTGGAGGTTTATCATGTGTCTGTATGAAGGAGAGACACAATTACCTGGAAGGATCCCTCACTTCTTCAGGTTGCTCCATTTTGTAAACAATGATAGAAGAAGTGAGGACCTGGCTTTTAGTAATACTTAGGCTTGGGAGCAAAGTATAAATGCTCACCCCCGGGCCACCACTATTGCCTTAGTATGATTTCTTTGCTTTTCCACTAATAAGAACATTTTCCTAGGAGTTGTTCTACCTGATCAGGAATTGGGGGAGAGTAATGGGCAGCACTAGACAAGAATGTGGATGACCTTGGATATCTTTCTCAACCCTGAGGTGGAAGAATATCTGATGTTGTTCTTGCTCCAGTTTAAATTTATATTCTTTGTGCCGTAGAGATTCAAAGTAGGAAGACACCTTAGAGAAGGTACCTTGTCTCCCTTTCCTATTGGGAAACAAGAGCTAAGGTTTTCCGACAGTACTACCATAATAAATCAATTGCTTAATGGGAAGATAAGTGGTTTTATATAAAACATTGGTTTTTTTCCCCCTGCACCTCATTTGGATCTTACATGTCCAATTCAATGATCCTCAAACTCTCTCCATCCCACCTCAACAAATTAAAGAAAGATTACCCATTCATATCAGTGTGAGAGAGGTAAAATCAACAGTTCTACAGAGGTTATTACAAACTAAATCAAGGAAATCATTACCCCCCCACTACACACACACACACACAACACACACATGCACACAGGCACACACACTCAGTAGGTTAGGGAACATATTAAAATCTTGGGTGTAGCTGAGAGGAGAGGATGTGAAGTTTAAGTAAACCTCCAGGGAATTCTGACAAGCTGCAGTTAAGAATCAAAGCCCTAGGCAAAAATTTTTATTTTGTTATGTAATCCTACCCTCTGCCTTTGATATGTCTTTTACATGTCTTATTTTTGTGTAGAAGCTTGGAGGCATCTAGTAGTCATCCTGTCTATATTGCCATCCAGTTCATGACTTACTTCTATCAAAACCCATGTAGTTGGTCGTGCAAACCTATTACCTAAATGTATGTCATCATGAGACTCTGTTGTTTCCACGAATCTTGGTCTATTTTATTATCAGGACTGTTATTATCAGGTCTACCTTTACATCAAGCTAAAACTTACAACTCTGTGATTCCTCACTCACTAGGAGGGCTATATTTTTCTCCAAAGATTATTCTTTTGTAGGGTAAAAATCCTCAGCTCTTCAGCTATTGCTCATGGTTTCAGTATCTCCATTCTGGTTCCCTTCTTTCAGGATGATTCCTTGTTATGTTCCTAAATGTGATGAGTAAAATCAGGAGGTGTTTGTGGGTCATTTCCCACCTTCCCGCTACTCCTGGATGCTGCCATAACTTTCTGACAGGTCCCGCTTCTCTATAAATCTGCTTTCCACATGGTTGCCAAAGAAGATTTTAAATATATAAGGTCATTTTTCTTCCCTATTTAGACATTTCAATCCTTGCTATTGCTTTCAAAATAAAATTCAAAGTCTCTTAGCAAACTGTTAGGTCCCTACATGATCTTACCCTAGCTAACTCTTCGAGTTGAGTCTTGTATCACTGAATTCCAGCCACAGTAGCTATCATTCAGTTGCTTAAACTTCCTTTGACATCTTTTCTTTCCTACCTGCTTGGCAAGTTCCTTCCCATTTAAGGCTCTGAGCCAATTTCTTTACATAGGAGCACTCCTTACTACCTACAAGAGTCTGTTCATCTCTCCTCCTCAGGCTTATGGCTTCACATGCCTTTTCTGCTACTGGCACTCAAGTACTTAGAAGAGTACCCTACCAATGGTGGGCTTTTCCAGAAATGCACAATAAGTGGAAAACATGTGTCAGACTAGAGTCAAATACACCTCTTATTTTCCCTAATATCACTTTTATTAATATATCCTAAAATTGTTTTATTGTGTAGGAAGGAGACCAATGACAATATATTTCATTGTCAGCTCATCTTGAACATGAAAGATCAGATGATGGCTATATACTGAGGTCGAACCTGCAGGAGATGCTGTTGGAACAGATGTGAGATGTGAGAGTAGCCAAGAAGTCAAGGATGACTCCAGGGTTTTTAGTCCGAGCACCTGGTGAAATGGAGTCAGTACAACTGAAATGGGGAAAACAGAGAATAGGTGTGGGGGGTGGGGCAGGGGTGTATTAGGAGTCAGTTTGGGATATGATTATTTAAGATACTAAATATCCACAGTTCATAGTATCTGTTTCCTCACTCTAAGGAAGGGCTAATCATTCCTCATGAATTAATTGTGAGACTTGAGGAATTAATGTACACAACTGAGAACAAAACTATAAAGTGGATAGGAAGAAATATGTGTCTAAATATGTATCTATGAATAGTCATTAGATCACAGACCTTTTATCAAATCCTTTGGACATTTCATATAAAAACCAAAGCATAATTCATAAAGATTTTCCTGGTTGAATTTTATACTGAATTCAAATGCGTTTTCTTTGGTCTGGGAAGATATTCCATAATACAGTTGGAAATTAAGGTATTGACTCAGAGTATCTGAAACATTTATCTCTTTGTAGAGATATACCACCATATGAGCATTTAAAAAAAAAAAAAACTATCATTCACTCACTAAACTATTTTAAGACTGTTAGAATCTGCAACACCAAACCTCTTGAGTCTCTACCATAAGTAGGGCAAAATACTAGATCCTGAAAAGATAGAAATTATATATAATTCTGTAGTCTCAGAATTATTGTGAACATTTACCAGAATTTAACAGTATAAGCTTAACACAATAAATGCATAGCTATCAGTATGATATGAAAGTACACAAGAGTCTTCACACTCTGACATGGAGATGCAGGGCAGCAGAAAATTTGAATGACCAGGGTTGATTTCAGAGAACTCAAGTGCTCACTTTGGGCAGTATTCAGAAATGTTTTTCAGACTGCAAATCCCCCCCTGTACAGGCAAATTTTTTGAAATGTTTTCAGGCTATTTACTTGATTTTATTATTGGAAAATTTTTTAATTGATAGATTATCTTGTGAAGAGTTGATAAGATGCCATTTAGCTTAATTTTCTCAACAAATCTTATTTGAAGTCTTAACATTATGAGGTCTTTTATATAGACTATGTTGCTCTATATTCATTGACATGTGAGTGTGTGGTGGAAACTTCCTCAACACCTCAAAACCTTCATGCTGCTTTTCATGCAGACAATCATTTGAAACCTATTTATGCATAAATATGTTTTCTGTTCTAGAATAAGTTTGAGAAAAGGCAGGTCTCATATGGGTCTCAATCTTAGTCACAATAAGGTGAAGGGACCCATTGTTACAACATCTTTCTGTTCCCTGAGTCAGTTTTCATGGGAAGAGTTCATTGTTGCTTTACAGAGCATTCTTGGTGGATGGCACATAAAGGTATTCATTTTAGGAGCACATGATAATAATAGTAGTTAATGTTTACTGAGCATGTGAAAAGTGCCAAGCTTTGGTTTAAGTCCTTTGCATTTAACTTCGTTAGCAGTCAGAACAACAATCCTTCAAGGTGTAGGTATTGTGTTATACTGGTGTTAAAATTGAGGACATCATAAAACAGAGGTGTTAAGAATTTTTGTGCAAAGTCACAAAGATTCTAAGTTACATTGGGTTTCACATGATGGCTATAGAGTCTTGTTCTCAGATCCAGCACCAAATTGCCTCATTTTATAAATGATATGTTAGGTTAGGGAAAATGTGGTGGAGAACATTTAAATAACTAGCCTCTTGTTTCATGACTGACTACGTTATATTGATAAATTAATTACATATGTAATCTGTTACTTGTTTATTTTAAGACCACAGCTTTGATTGATTATCTTTATTTTCCATTATATACTGAAATATATTACAAATGTATTGTTAACCATTCATTGGCAGAATTTAAAGTGATTAAAGTAAGCACTAATTGTAATTTTATTTTTCTTCCTAGTTTCATGGTTTTCTCCAAATGAAAATATCCTTGCTGTTATTTTTCCAATTTTGGCTATACTTCTGTCCTGGGGACAGTTTGGTATTGTGAGTAAGTATCTATTTATGTTTTCATTTATGCTTTAGCTTTGAAATTGTAATTTCAAGTAGGCAATATTAGTGAAATATTTAAGTTGTATTAGGAAGTATAAAATATGATAAATAAGAATATACTATCTTCCTATTCTCCTTGAAATAAATTATTGCCTCATATAATTTGCTAAATTAACTTCTTTAACTTCTTTAATACTGAATAAGGGATAGTAATAACAAAATCTTAAACTTATGATGTAGATTTTAAAGTTTTCAAAACATTTATACTATTATCTTGAGAAAGAAATCATCACAGACTAGTTAGTGTTAAGATAAAATGTTGGGGCCTTCCCCTGGTGGCGCAAGCCATTGAGCGCAGCGCTGTGAAGCTGTCCGCAGCCTCTGCAGCGCCACTTGGATCCCGGCTGGCCACGAGGGTCCCACATGGCGCTGGCAGACCTCTCATGTTGTGCCCGCTGCTCCCCTCAGCAGTGTATTTTGTCAGTCTGCCTGTTCTGTTCCCTGCTCTGTCTCTGGTGAGTCCTCTCACCCTCCCGAGAATCTGGCCTGTACTCCTGTTCTTGTATAAATAAATAAATAAATCTTTTAAAAAAAAAAAAAAAGAATGTTGTACTTTTGAGCATTAAGACTTCCCTCCCTTTATTTTCCCAGTTTGAACTCCTCTGTATGCATGTGTTCATTTATGGGAAAATCCAGCTTGAAACACATCTTGTCATCCTTACCTTGCTATTATACAGTGTCTAAGGAAGTGGCTATGGGACAGTTGTGTTCTTCCATCATGCTTCACTGAAATAATCACAGGACCAAACTGCTCAGGTCAAATCTTGATGCCTTATCAGTTTAGCATCACTAATGTGGAGGGGGGTGGGGAAGGGACAAGGGTGTACAAGGGATGGTGAGCTGGGGGTGGGGGTGGAGAACAAGAACATTTGTTATTCTATCTTCTTTGCAGTTTTTGAGTTTTTGACAATATGTATTATTTTGTAAGCAGAAAAGCATTCAATAAATGTATTTTTAATTGGGAAATATTTAAAAAAAACATTTAAAAGCCTTAATTGAAACAAGCTGCGCAGAGATATTTGAGGCATATTATGCTAAACTACAGAATTTCTGTCTTACACCATAAGATATTCTTAACCATACCACTAGTTACATTTTAGTCTTTTTTTGTAAGTATTTCCACCCAATGAAAAAGTATCATTATTTTCACTTTTCCTTTAAAAGGAGAAAACTGACGCTATGAAAGCTATTTGCTTAGCACCAAGAGCATAACAATGGTTAACTTTGAATAAGAACCCCAAGCTTTTCAACTTACAAACTCTTTATTAAAACTACTGGAGTCATAATTTAAAAAGATACAGTAGAATTGTCACTACTAGGTAAATAGGCTAATATACTTTCTGATTCATGTTTATACCCGACCATGTTTCCATACCAATTTGGTGAAGGAAATTTGCTAAATTAGTGAAGTTCTGAGATGATAATCTAAACTTTCAAAAGGTAACATTTGATTCTGTTCTCCATGTAGTCCCTGACATAGTCATTGAAGGCCAGTTATTCAAGGCACAACAGTAGATAATGCTGATTTCATTCTGCAACTTTAAAAATGTGAAATCAAGTAAAATTTTGTAGTGGCTACTGTATATTTCATAAATTTTGCTTTTACTTAGTAGTGTAAGTCGTGCATATCCAAAATGTTATAAAAATGGGAGGGAGTGACTGGTTATATATTTTATGGGCTCTTCTAGTTCTGGAAATCTTTGTGATTTTAAAGCTATTCTCAACTTCTGTCTGAAAGGCAAAAAAGGAAGAAAAGACTAACAGAGACGGCTGTCATGACAAGTCACAGCTCTTTCAAAACAGTTTCTATACTTGTGGAAAAAATTTTTTAAATTTCAGTAAACCTTTTATATCAAGAAAAAGAATAGTATATAGCATGAAGACCTATTCGGTCTTCACTGTTAGAGAAATCTTGAACCCTGTTGGGACATGTAAACCTTAAGGCTTATATCATGATTTGAGTAGGGAGTAGCTTTTGCTTGTAAGCTTTTGGAATGATTTCATGGGGGTGTCATTTATTGCATTTAGATCGATTGAAGTTTGCTGATCATGGCATTGTCACTACTGACGTTATTTTTAGTGGACTTGAGACAGGAGGGGCCTGGGATTTGGAAAGTCCCTGCTAAACTGATTTAACCTTTCCTGGTGAGTCACTCTAAATCTATAATGACAGTTCATGGAAACCCGTGGGTAGAAAAGGGAGTAGCTGTTGAGCCCCTTACTTTAGCTGAAACAAACCAGAACACAGGACTTGTATAGAACTGCAAAATATGACCTATCATAGCTGAAGGTTCACTATACGACTAATATCTCTGCCCCTTTGTGGGATCTGGCCTCCATTTTGTGAATGTGTGTCCTGTTACAAGGCATTTACAATGATGAAAAGTACACCCCAAAGACACAAGAAAAAGACCTCTCAGATGTGATGTGACCCATTCCCCTTTCCCACCAAAGACCCAAATCTCAATAAAAGACCAGACTGAGGGCCTCCCCTGGTGGCACAGGTGTTGAATGCTGGGCTGCAAAGCTGCCCTCAGCCTCTGCAGCGCCTGTTGGATCCCCGGCCACCCGCGAGAGTCCCACATGGCATGCAGACCTCTCCTGCTGCCCGCTGCTCCCCTCAGCAGTGTATTTCGTCAGTCTGCCTGTTCTGTTCCCCGCCCCTGGCTCTGGTGAATTCTTTCACTCTCCCATGCTTCTGACTATACCCAGTGCTTGTATAAATAAATAAATCTTAAAAAAAAAAAAAAAAAAGACCAGACAGAGCCTTTGGTTGGAGAGCTGCTTCTCTGTGACATGGTCTCTCTGGAGTTCTGTCTCTTGCTTGTTCTCTTTCAATAAACCCTGGTGCTGTCACTCCCATTCTGTGTCTTGCATCCTCATTGCATTCTTGAGTGCACTCTCAAGAATTACCAGATGGATCCAGTAACAGACTGAACCAGGGGTGAGTGTTCACTGTTAGTCATACTTTTATAAAGTAACACATTTTTTTCCCTGACTTAAAAAAAGTAATACATATCACTTTGGAATATCTTACATAATATAGGATATTATAGAGAAAACACAAAAATTATCTAGAGCCCCCCAACCTAGAAATAAAGTTGGTATAGTCTAGTGAATTTTCTGCTTCCCCTCCCTCTTTATTTCTATGTATTTTTGTTATCTTTCTTAAAAAAAAAAACCCATAAATGGACTCATATGGCTTATATACATGTACAACCTGATTTTACCCTGTATTTTCAGAAGACTTTTTATAGTTGCCTGTGCTCTACTGGTGGAGATACACTATAATTTACCTAATGCTTATATGGATAGATATTAAGGCTATTTCCTTTTTTTTTAATACTATGGAAGTAACTCTGCTAAAGTTACATAAGACTAGAATAGCAAAATATTTTAAGGCTCTTGATACATGTTGCCAAAATGTTTTCCATAAAATTATATCAATTGTTGCAAATGAGAATAGCTGTCTTTCACCTCCCAGTCCTGACAGCACTGTTATTCTAAAACCTTTGCTAATTTTAATTTGATGAGTGAAAAAAACATCTTGTTTTAGTTTTTATCTTTGTGTTAATGGAGTTGAATGTTCTTTTTTATATTTATTGCACTGGTCATATTTTAAGGAATGTGTTTATGAGCTGAAAAAAAGTTTCATGGCAATTTTTTACTTAGGCTCATCTTAGAACATGTGTGTGTTTGCGTGTGTATAGATTGTACTTATATACTTGACCCATTCAGTCTGAGCTCACATTTGAAAACTTTTGGTGATAATGGTAGCTAAGCACTTGTGGGACTCTTGCACTGTTCAAAATACTGTATATCTGAAATCACATTTATTTTCCCCAGGAACTTCTATGGTAATAGAGGTGCTATTGTTATCATTCCCATCTTATAGATAAAAAGCTGAAGCACAAATAGGCTAAGTAATTTTCTCACAGCTACCTTGCTGTTTCCTGTTGTTTTGGAATTTGAACCAGTGCCATTTATCACTATATGCTGCCTTCGTGTCTTTGAATTTATTTTGAATTTTTTCCCATGAAGAGTGAACCTGTATCCAAGTACACACACTGAGTAGATGGAACTGTTATTAATAGAGCAGAATTTTGACCTATTTTGTTTATTTATTCAATAAATGTCTATTGACAGGGTGCCTACTGATTACTAGGCACTGGGCTGGAGATGTGGAGTGAAATGCATATTGCCCCTGGCTTTGTAGCACCCACATTTCATTTGAGAAGACATGTAAATGTGCATGCTCTGTGCCTTCTGTCACACCTTTAGCATAGATGGAGCTAAATCTCCTTTTGTCCCCTTTGTAAGAGGCCTCCTGTTCATGGCCTGGGAATTCCACCAAGCAGGAGAGCACTTCTGTTTTCCACTCACTAATTGGTTACATGTTTTTTAGAGTGCACTATTTTGCAGGCCTCAAAGTATTAATAGTAACTCAGACCCATGGTTTTTGTTTTCTAGATTTCTAGTTCTTAACTTTTTCTGATTACCATTTATAATCTGTACTTGACCATGACAGAATCAGGGGGCAAGTAACTCTTTTCTAGCTCTCCATGTCTGTCCTTTGGTTATCCAAGATGAAACCTAGACTTTCCCTAGGATAACATTCTGTACTTATACCAGAATTATCTTTTTACCAGAATTGTATCTTGAACAGTATCTTAGGATGCTATCAATCCTACTGGGGAAGAAGCCTGAGAAGATTTCTAAACTCCCAAAGCCAAGCAGGACTTGGTGAGCCCTAGGCCACATTTTGAAGAAAAGGTCTCTTACAAGGAGATGTCCTTAAATACCTTTGCTTTTAGCTTTAATTTATGAACTTTTCAGTAGACTCTTATGCTTGGCAAACAGCTCAGGGATAAATAGACTCAAATACTAAGGCTTAATAAAAGTAACAAATCTCTAATAGTACTGCATTTTAGGCACTTT